TGATGGCTCGAAACGTGAAGAGAGGCTTGGTTCTCAGGAAGGCATTAGGAATCATCAAAGCAGCGAAAGCACACTATCACACACGGTTGGTCCATCGTGTTCCCCTCGCCTTCCCTGCTAACATTCGGGGATATTTCAGGAAGACGACGGATGTGACGGTGTTTGGAAAATCTCGCGTAAAGTTGCCATGGCCATTATGCTGGGGCAATTTCCCTCTGTGAAAACTAGTTATTGGTGATGAAATAAAAAATAAGGCCGAAGGGTCGATCACTTGGCTCTGGTCAATCTTCTCTGCGACCCAAATACTGTCAGAGGCCCAGCTATACAGATGGAGAAGGCGGCAATAAACCGATCTGAGCATCGGAGGAATAGGAAAATATTCGGCTCATATCCCTCTTTGAAAAAGCGTAATATACCAGACTCAATTAATTGCAGAAGCTCTTCCTTGCAGACAAAGCGGAGGGTAATTAATCGACCTCGGAGGAATGGGACATTGCTTTACAATTAGCTCCTCTCTGGTGGGTTTTCTAGCAGATCTGCATGAGGGCATAACAAATTCCTCGACTGCTGATGGAACTTCTCACTTCTCAATAAAATAACGAGTGGAAGTTAAAGTAAAGAGTGAAAGTGATGCGTGGATAACAAAGAGTGACTCTGCGACGTTGTGGTTGTGCGACCTCCCGTAGAGGGAAGAGAAAGGGACACGGCCTTGGGAACCTTCTTCAAACGGAACATGTTTCGATGTCATTTCTCCTCAGCGATGTCCTTCCTTCAACTTTCTCACTGACCTTGGTTGAGGCCCAGGGAAACCAACAATCAGAATTGACAAACATACTTCACCTATCCATGGAATACTGTAAGTCAACAACTAACTCCTCCCGCACGAGAAGTAACGTAGGGGAAACAGGGTAAATCTTGAAAAAGAAGGAAACCTCACTACAACTAAACTTATAGCCCCTATTGCACTTTGGGAGTTGTTTTCCAGATTTCCCTAGTCGATGAAAACGTTGTTTTGGAACTTCGAAACTGATTTGTCAGCGTAGCATGGCACTTTGCTTCCGGATGTCTCATTTTTAATGAACCCTCGAGTAAACATCTAGATAAGCCCTTTTGCGAATCAGCAAAAGTGCAAGAACACTGTTTTTGTCGCGTCCAGGCACGAGCACGCCATGTTTTGGCTGACATTTCGCTCCTGAAGACGTTTGCGGGGGATCTTCTCGGATTATACGCTCCTTATGATTATGATTTACGAGAATTTTGCTAGAATTGGTTTGAATGATTGCTCCTGGAATGGGAATTGAGAAGCTTCTTGTGAAAACACTCTGAGGACCAATAAGAAAGGAAACAATATAAGGAGAACAAATGATAATTAAGAAGCTAGCAACTATAGTTGTTTTCAAAAACAATCATCAAAGAAAACAATATTGCTTACGAGACTCCGAAAATAAGAATTACAAATCACCCAGTTGCTCTTAGGAGGCCATTCACTGCAATCAAAAAGCTGAGAGCTTGGTTAATTAGTTTGTAGTCTGCCAATTTGTCGGTTGCCGGTTGGTCGGCCAGCGGATTAGTCGGGTCTGATAAGAGCAATGATAGACGAAACTAGAGCAAACTGGACAGAAGATTTTGCTGCATGATTCTGAAACATACGAGACAACCCTTTGAAAGGAAAAAAAGACTTTTGACCTAGACCATTCCTCTTTCATTACGTACCCCTGCACTCGAAGCCGTTCCAGAGCAGAGCGGCATCTGAATAGGTATTTGGCCTATACGATGTCTCACAGAGATCTTTTAATGTTGCCAGTCAATGAACGTCCATATACTTACAAGCAGTATGTTACCAACAACCAGCCTCATACCTCGTACAAGTTGAAGACTTTTTGGTCTGAGCGCATACCAGAGCGGACTGGAAGACCAGGAATATAGTAAAGGTTCCCACTATCTCGCTCCTGCCTCGGAACAGTCAAGTGGTTGGTACAACTTTATAAGTACAAAACCGGACACGATACTAACACTCGTCTCGATCTCGTCTTCCGTATAAACAACGAGCTCGCTACTGGAGGTAAACCAAACTGGCAATGTTTGAATGGTAGAGGATCACTATTTTTATAACATTATTCTGATGATAATTACAGCCACCTTCCAGAATCCTAGAGCGATCTAATACGTAAAAATCCGTTTCAGTGAAATTTATGGGCCGGCAATGTATTGGTAGACCTTTCTATGTTACTGGACTCAGATGACTAACCCCTCAGAATTGAGATAGATGCTTGGCCGACGCTAAGTAGGTTTAAAATGTGGTTTTGGCGTCTTCTGTCGCTATACTAACCGTAATTTTATTATACCAAGCGAAAACGAAAATCAGAATGTAAAGGCGGACATAATAGCCTCAACCAAGGTCTTCGGGAGCGAAATGATCAATGTACATGCACGATTACCATAAAATTATTTGAATCATCATAAAATTCACCTCAAAATCTATTCGGCTGCGTCTTCCAAGGACATGAGAACTGAAGAATGAGCGACAATAGCAAAGGCTATGGTAGACAAAAAGAGAGCATGAAGGAGAATGCTACAAGCGAGGGTAACTCTTCAGGTTTACCCATGACCAAGGAAGTGAAAGCTCAGAGAAAGCTCTAGATATAGCTACTAAATATAGAACAACTAAATACATGACCAAATCAAGAAAAACCCCGAATTTGTATTAAAAGAATGTGGTGTCTTAAGAACACTTTCAAAATTTGAGACCGAAAAAAGCTTGAAGATAAAGAAGGAGGTGGAAAAGGTAATCTACTCCAGTCCTATGAAGGGGAATAGCGAAACAAATAGAGAAAGAGTATCTGGTGAAACAACCCGAAAGAGGAATCAATCGGCTTTACATCTCAAAACAGAATAAAGTGCAATTCAGAAAACACGAACGAATTCATAGCGAGTAGTAAACGGAGTGGAGCCGAAGGGTGATATTTATTATTTCCCTTTTTCACGAAAAACAGACACCGATCAAACACCACAAAATGGATAGATGATGACATTCCAATTAGCAAAAGACAACTAACAATAAATCACTTTTATTACCACATCTTTGCCGATTGGAGTTCAATCATCAAAATTCCCAAAGTGTTTTGCACGTCTTCCCTGGGAATAACACTTCGTGGGTAAAGTTCAACTTACATGCAAAGCAAGTAACAGCCGATCTGAGGTACTTGCGCTAATTTGGTAGTTTCTGGGCTAAAAGTCGAATAGCCTACCAAGATTCGCCATGCCACTGCCGGAACCTTCCCCCTCCCACATGGAAAGCCTCATTCCAGAACGAGAAGGTGGAGTTCTAGTTCGACTTAATGACAGCTCACAAAGCGTATATCCAGAAATTCAATTACTTCAATTTGTATCAGCAATAGTTATACTACTATATTCAATGTTATTTAATTGCCCATCAATCAAGATCAGTTTTGGTTGGAGATGGCTCACTGAGCATCTGGATGATTATTCCAGACAAGAAGGGAATTGTCGAAAGTACTACCGTTAAGATTCGAATGTTTACTGCGAAATTTCCATTCAAAAGGTGAATACGTCACTGATTTATAAACCCTTAGGTGACTAATGGACCATTCCAATTGACAAGGCAGTAGGCGTAATGAAAACAAACGGACACATCATAGATGACGATTTACAACAAAGTTCCGATCAGAGCTTTTATGGCATTCACGAGTCTAGAGGACAAAGTTCAACTCGGGCTTCCTCGGGCTTCCTCAACCGCCTAAACGACTTCTTGAACGCTTCACATCAGGGCTCGCCCCTACCCCAGTCCCTCAAGGAACAGATTTTGGCTCAAACTTGAGAGGAGGAATGTTACGCATACGCATTAGAACATCCTTAAATTGCAAATGTAAAGCTGGTCTCTACCTTTCGTTCTCATTTTCTCTTATTTCTCTCTCTCTCTCCTACAGCCAACGTTATCAATGGAATCAATGAGGCTATCCTGAGTCAGGGGGCGACCCTTTGACCGTTCAACACTTTTCAGGCGATATTGTAGAGCTGCGCGTTGATCGCCTATGCAAATGTATATGCTTAAAGGTTGTTGTAAGGTCAGTGAACGAGAGGGAAAAGTACACAATGTGATTCAGACCCGCGCGAACTGTGCTGAACGCTTAGTCACTGTAATGGTAATGGTTTCATGACTAATAGAGCTGTTGAAATAAAGCATTAAAAACTGGTTAGCCTTCAGGAAACGATCAACGATCAAACAGGTTTGTCAAATCATCACCGAACTCCAACACTTGAACCTACTGTAGTCGCGTTTCATCTCTGACTAATGGCTGGACCTAGGAGGGAGCGGTGATTAATGATTGGGCAGTCGGTGTGAATCTTCATTCCCATGCAGAATCTGGTTCTAATGTGAGCGCAGTGCCAGATATGGGGAGCTCTAGAAGAGAAGTGGGACTGTTTCGATGCAATACAGAGTGAAAAGACAGAGGAAATTCCGGAAAACATAAATTAATATAGCATATAGCACCGCTCCCATTCAGACCCTCCCACTCTTGAGGGTAAGTGATTGGGCCAAGGTAGGCCCGCTGGACAAAACAGGACAGGACTGAAATGCTCTCGAGCTATTCTCCAATACTGTTCAAAAGCTTGTGTATAGCTATATGATGAACAAACACTGCTGAACTTCGTCAAAATTCTTCCATTTTAAGACCTCTGAGCCTCGGCGCAACTCATGGTTATGGTCAAAATAAAAAATGGTGCCCGTAGAAGTAAAGAGGAAGGGAGTAAGTAGAAAAGAAAAAGCA